CAAGCACTTTACCTTTAGTCGCTTGTGAGCAGTGTCTGTAAAGCAACACAGTTTTAGTTGATAACATTCAATTTTTGCGTATTAACACGGGGCTTGATTCTAAGGAAACCGAGATACACCCGGTTCTTATTCTGACGATCGGGTCTCTGTCCTTGCAACCATTTTCTGCAGCACGGCCTTAGCATCTTTTAGTGGCTCCTGTGCTTTAAAAGCATGGGCCACGTCTTGACGGCGTCGTTTTTCAGACTGCTTTGGCGGCCTTATGTTTTCCGACACCCATCCACTCTCCTCAAAACATATATATTTGGGCATAGTGATTGTCCAAAGTTACGGTAGTGCTGATAAAGTGCTAAGAAAGAGGATATTTAGTTTTTGCGCTGGCGTGATCATGCCAGGATTAAAGAAGTTATCGAGCGCATTTAGATGCTTCTATCACCGATTTTCACTGCGTAGGCAGTCTAATTGGTCTTCCTTTTTGAACCTTGACTTCGATAGACAGTCCTGAATGGTACCAAAGGTGACGTGGGTAGGGACGACTACCACCACTGCTGTGCATTCAAACGTGCTTAATCTGAACCGAAGATATTACCTTGAGCTTTTGACAGTTGTCTGTGACATGTCAGTTTTATTAGTAATCTCGTTCCCTTCACTACTTTCTTCGTTCCTCCGGACAATCCCCTCTCCTATTTTTAGTGTCCTACCGAATTGCGTTCGCCAGGCTGAACAGTGGCGCATTGTGGCGAATCCCATTTTTATGCGCATACTTCCTGAAAAACGCCTAGAATTTATTTTGCTATGGATTTAATTAGTCGCTCTGTCTCGAATGCGTCCAGTGAATAGTCTTGTCTGACCATCAGATCCTTCCTTTCTAGTTAAACCCTCGAGATTTCCGAGAAATTGGCCGAGCAGAATACAGACTTCTGTGGATGCCCGTATTACAAGGAGCAATTTGTTTGGATCGAATGGACCCCAGTGGAAGTTATTCGTCATGGCGACTTCTCTGAGACTCGACAGTCTCCAACTGGCTTGGTGTCAGGGTATGTTCTCCAGACATCTAAACTGGGGTTAGGCGGTAAGTCCGTGTTGCCTTTAGTTTTGCAGTGGACTGACTTCATTACGGTGGGAAAACAAATTGGATGCGTTATACGATTCATCTTAGCTTTGATGTCTGACCACTTGACTCATTGTTGGCGTGTATAGATGGAAGTGGCGGCTTTATCGCATTTCAATTTAGCTTATTTCGTATTGTCTGTTGGGTAGACCATCGACTGTACTGTCGCGGGTTCCAATCTCACCGAGGGGCCGCGTTTTTCATAGTAGGAATAAAAGCCAGATACATTGGTCTTATTCATGCCCACGTTCAGTCGCCTGAATGGCAATCCTATCCGTGAATTATCAACTATTTTGGAGAAATAGTTTTTTTGGTAGCAAAGTGTCACAATAAGTAATACAGTTTGATGCCAGCATCAACCCCGCTAACCCCCCTCTAATCCTACGGGGCTTGGTGGGTTATAAGGAAGTTATGATGGGGCTGACTGCGTGCCGAAAATCGGCCTCATCATCTAGCTTGACGATGAAGTTTTCAACCAGGAGTGCGCGATGTCGCAACTCCTCAGGCATGAGCGTCTGGTTCTGGGCTAATTTGTCGACTTTTTGCTAAATGAATTTAATCGAAGGGCGTGCAGGACGTCCTTACCACAGAGTTATCAATCTTCCTTGTATCGATCTTGAAGTGTCACTGCGCCGTATAAGCATCCTGCTTACTGATGTGAGGGCACTGCTAAGGGTAAAGGCCCGCTCCGTCCGTCGGAGGAGGTAGATACATTTTCATCAAGTCTTGTCCTGCAAACCGTCAGAGTTACTGCTGCTTACTGAACTATGGGTGGTAACGTCGGCCAACCATCTTTCGGACTCTCTAGCACGGTCCACTATGTCCTCGTCGTCATCATCCTCCGATTCAGATGTTAATCTGCGGATAACCCAAGAAGTTCAGGGGCTCCGGCTTGCTCAATCCAGAAAATACGCCGATAATAAAGCGTTGTCCACACACCGGGTCCCTGGTACGACTGAGTAATGGGCATAGGCACTGGTTAGACCCTGGTCATTCCGTCGATGTGCACTTGAATGCGTGTGTCGGAAGTACTTGTTATCGGACGAAGACGAAGCTCATGAAGCTGACCGTCTGTGAGACCCCAGTGAACGTAAGTGTCGTTACTTAGAGGCTTCTTATTGCACGCTCGAGACGTTAGCAATAGCGTCCGTGGGTCCTTAGGTACATCCGAATGGAAATGACGCAACATATTAAATAACATCTTTGTATTAGACAAAGACATTTGCACTTCAAGAGTGTATTCTTGCAAGGCCTCCAGAACGGAGTTGACTCCAACTGCCTTTGTGTCGTCCATGACTTCCACGGACTCTACACCCATCATTCGTTTTCATGCGCATATTTTGGCCAGCGGCCTTCAGGTAAAAGATACGGATAACATAGTTAGAGTGCAGCTCGGCAACATCTGCGACACGCCTACTCGTTCCTTCGTCCGGCATGCAAGTAAACAAACTGCTCGTCCCTCCCCCCGACTGTTCTCCTCCCCCAATTGGTTATAAAGGCGGTGCGCTAATAGATTGGCGGCTGTTCGCTGATTGGCTCATTGTTCGACGCGCGGGAGTTTGAGTATTCCACGCTTGCGGCACGCCATGGAGGCTGGTGATGTTGTGTCGGCGACCTTCCAACGTCTTCTCCATGGGCGGAAATGCACATCTTTTGATGCGTTGGAGGATGCCATTTCACGCTTTACAGAGATGAAAATAAAACTCTTTTAGGAAACGGGGTTACCAATTCAAGCCTGTCAATTGGCATAAGCTTCCCGCTGGGAACCCGAATGCGGAGAAGATTGTATTCTACAGTCGGAAGTACGTGTGCGTTTTGGCCTCAACTCGACAGTATGCTTAAATTTTCGTAGACTGCAGATTGGAAAATGTCTTTAAATACGGCGCATAACCTGCGCGTCTGGTCCTTTGCTGTGGGGCATGGTCATGAAAAAATTGCGTCTACTTACCTGTCGGCGAGGTCGGACGCAATGCGCCAAAGTCCGTCAGCCGGGAGCCTGGGCTCCTTTGCTTAGAGGGCCGCGGTACCCCAGGCGCAGGCTCGTGTCCATGGATCACATGGGACGATGTAACCACGAGGCAGCCCTCCCTGCGGTACTGGATGTTGAAGAATGCAGCACAGCCGGTACGGCTATATAATGACATTAGATCGAAAGAAAATTTAAACATACTGTCGAGTTGAGGCCAAAACGCACATGTATTTCCCACTGTAGAATACAAACTTCTCCGCATTGGGGCCGCCAGCGGGAAGCTTATGCGAATTGACAGGTTTGAATTGGTAACCCGTCTCCTATGCACAGTCAAGGCAAAAGAGTTTTATTCTCACCTCTGTAAAGCGTGAAATGGCGGCTTGTATTAAACATACACTTCGCGGCTGCGCAGTATCGGGCCGCGAACAGAGAACCACCAAAACACCAAAAAATTGTAAACTAACACAGGAAAGTTAAACAACAGATTAAATAAAGCGAATAAAGCAAACAAATGCAGAATGATAAAGTTTACTTTTAATTAAATGGAAAACGTACGACAGCAAAGCAAACAAACAACGGAAAAATGGCACAACACCGCGACAATTGGCACTACTGACTTCTATTACTGAGTAGGCAGCCAGGCTGGCCTTCATTATGTGCAGGTAGGCTCTACCTGCACAACACCGCGACAATTGGCACTACTGACTTCTATTACTGAGTAGGCAGCCAGGCTGGCCTTCATTATGTGCAGGTAGGCTCTACCTGCAGGGCGTTTAACTGTGCACATTGTACACCATCTACTCTTTTTTCATATAAATTTCGGAATTTGCGTTTTTAAACCTAAGTAATTCTCTCGCATTGCCAGCATTACTTTGACATGCATGAGGACTAGCTAAAGTTCGGACAACTTTAAATAGCAACAAGAAGTGTCGCTAATGCATCTTCGAGAACAACTACACTTGGATGTAGGATGGACTGTCTGAATTCCGTCCCCTTTCATGTGTCGAAATCGTTTAACATCCTTTCTCGCTGTGAAAATTCAGCTGGAAGGAATGCGCTAACAGACATCAGACCTCTGCTTACGTCTTCTACCACATAGGAGGACAACATGGGCGGGTTCACCGTCCCGGTCGCCTTTGATTTCTAACTCCGAATCCACAATCTCTTAAGCTTTTTCGTTATACCTAGGTAAACTAGACGGAGATTAGCCCTAGCTTGCTAGCTAAGAACGGTGAAACGCCGACTCTATGCTCACCGTTCGCAGCAGAGAGGAAGTCTTCATCTTTCTTCACCTTACAATCGTCCTCCAAGGGTCCTTTGGCAGGTAGGCTCTACCTGCAAAGGCTAATGCGCGTCGCCCACCCCCTTGCACGATTAATCGTGTACGCACGCGCGAGCCAGGCAGTCAGCCTAGTGCGCAAAGAGATGACTCATGCGCCTACGCGCTGCCGGCTGCCTGCCCAGAATGTGCGCCGGCAAAGTCAATCATTAGAACCTGCCTATGCGCCTGAGACTAATGCGTAGACCGCAAAGGCTAATGCGCGTCAGGCGGGATACGCGTCGCTCACCACCTAGCACGATTAATAGAGTACGCATGCGCGAGGAGGCTGCCTGGCCAGAATGTGCGCCGGCAAAGTCAATCAATTGAACTCGCCTATGCGCCTGAGACTAATGCAGAGGCTTAGTTCGCATATGGGCGACTATGCTGACTACTTTTTATGAGAATGTAGTCAGTAATGATCCCCAAATAGCCATTAGCTCTCTACCCTCGCATTTGGTGTAGAACACCTACAGGCCAAGTGGGAAATAGTGTAAAGTCTTTACTTATGGAAAAAATAAGCAATGTACAGACAGGCTTGGAGGAGTGTATCACGAGATTCCGACGAGTACGAGAAGGCTTCCTGTTTCGGGTGATCCGCATTACGGTTGGCTACAAAATATAGAGATTAGAATGAACGCTTTAGAGGATTAAACTAACCTGCTTGCCGTCCGGCCTTCATTCCATTCTTGATAGGTTTTTTCAACTACAGGAACTGCATGTCTACAGGCAGCGACAATTTAGAAAAAGCATTCCTACCTCAACTGGTGACCTTGACGCCTTGAATGGTGGCTCGCCATGGGCAGGGGCAATGCATTGCCGTGCTATGCATCTGTAGGGAAGGTGTGACAGAGTCTGCTGCCCACAACTTACGCACGGGTTAAGTAGGGGTTACAAAGTAAAATAAGTAAAACTAAAATAGTATCACAGCCACGTCAGACATCACAGCCAACCCAGATATCACAGAACGCAAACCATCCTAGAAGTAACGAAATTAAATAAAATCAAAAGACAAAATAGTATCACAGCCGCGTCAGACATCACAGCCAACCCAGATATCACAGAACGCAAACCATCCTAGAAGTAACTAAATTAAATAAAATCAAAAGCCAAAATACTATCGCAGCCGCGTCAGACGTCACAGCCAACTTAGATATCACAGAGCGCAAACTAACGTAGAAGTTACGAAGGCAAATAAAATCTAAAACTAAAATACTATCACAGCCTCGTCCGCCGTAGCTAGATATCACCCTGAGCTACATCAAGGTGGTGCAAAAGGCGCATAACCACCTATCACAGACCTGCGGGTTGTCAATACAAAGCTCATGGAACTTGCGCTGACATGATACACATTTGAAAATAGTTCCCCTACTAACGACGGTATTACCGCCGCAGGCACCACACGCATCTACGAACGGGATATCGTCCATGTCTACGGCCGTCTCTTCCAAATGCCGACTGGGCATCCTCGAGTCCCTGCGCGTAAGACTGCTGCTGGCACTATGCGTGGAGACAGTTACGTTCATCGCACGACTTCTCAGAGGTTTGCGAGTCGTCCAGGGGCGTCGAGTACACGGCCGGCCACGAATGCGGAAGTTAGGGAGTAAAGTGTCATTGTGCAGAATACGTACAGATGGGTCTTGGTCAGAACCCCACTGTGCGACAAACACATTACCCTCCTCCCTTATCTGACAACGAACAACCCCGTCGCTCGTGTCAGCTTCCATTTCATCCCCGTTCGGCTGTGAGGGGGAGTCGACAAGCGACTCTTGTGGCCAACCAGAAGGGGCATTCATGATCCGGTCGGCAAACGCATCGACTTCCCGCAACAACTCCTCGAAGCGTTGACTCCCGCAACTCTTTAATTTCTCTACGATAGGCTGCAGGTGGCTCATGGCTACCTTGTACTTGTAGGCTTCCGTCAATGGCCTGCGGACTTTGCTGACGAGAATGTCTGCCGGAAAGGACGTAACGACCCCCGGGTCAACATTCTCGTCGGCGACGTCCTTTTCACACACGTCCATGCGGAAAACCTATCTACTCTTCGAAAGAGCCTGACCAGGATCGACCCTATTCTGATCCAAATAGTTAACAATGTGAACACACGGCAGCTGCCAGTTACGGTGGAACTGACAGCTGCACGTGTCCGCAGCATCGCTTGAAAGCCGGACCCCAGCATTTGCTGACAGGTGGGCTAGCATAACATCTGAGGCGTACCCAGTCAGCATTTGGCATATTCGACGGACGCGGGGCCTCAAGCCCTTGTAGTGCCTGCGGCGGCAATACTCCTCGGCGTCCAATCGGTTAGTGTCAACCGATTTCGACTCAATAAACTGCACGATGTTTTGCACGCAGTCGGTGAGAGACATGTAAGGCTTACACCACTGCTTCAGCACTCGGTTGACACTTTCGATCTTATTTGTGGTGTTATCGCCGTACGTCACAAGACTACGTCGAGCGTAATGGGCCCACCGGCGTCTACACGGCCACCAGTTTGCCACAATGTACGGCCATAGTTCAGGGAAGATTTCCCTCATGCTATTAATTAGCATCTTAAAAAACTTAAAAGACCCGGCATAAACCGCCCTTCGGAACTGGTCAAAAGCCTGCTCTGACCTTTCGTTCCTGTACACACTTTTCACTTTCCTTTTAAAAGCCTGCAGCACATGAAATGTGCATATGAGAATCGAGACTTGATTTCCAGGAAAAACATCCTTCCAGGCTTTCAACTCACGAGAATCTTTGTCTATGAACACCGTGCGTAAGTTGTCAGTAGCAGACCCCATCAGCTCCCTAAATTTATTAACCACCCAGCGCACGCTAGTGGCGTCGTCGCGAGTTACAAACGCATAGAACACAGACTGAGCATGCCCATGCTTGTCAGTTACCACAATTTAGGAGCGCGTCCTTCGAATTTGAGTCGTATCGTCAGCTCTCCGAGTTTTCGTCGAATTTACTTGATAGTATAGGGCAGACTGAACGTCGCGTGGAAATAAATTGCGAACTGACAACGTATCCTTTGGATTTGGATTACAAGTACACCAACTCGAAAGTTCTATCATTATTGGAATTTTCGGATCTCGACGTTATTTCCCACGGTATCAGGAGGAAGATTCTACCCGAATTCTTCGAGGAACAGCACCACTGATTAGTCTTCTCATTCGCACCGGTGAAGTATACCACAAATTCTCCATCAAAAGATATTTGCAATCGTCCGACCATCTGTACAAGTCCCCCTACTTGACAACTTTTCTCCGAGATCTACGTCGAAAACTATAAACGGCTGAGTCGTTTCCTATTTTACTTCATAATTGGCAAATTCTTCATTCTAACAATTGTTGAAAACATCCTGCACTACTCTAGAACTGATTGAAGAGTTTGAAAATCATCAGCAATGAGCCAATTTGTTATAAAAAACTCGTTCACAAAAGTTGTGCAACCGGGATTTGAACTCGGTACCTGCGGTCTCGGAGGCCACAGTGTTAGCCACTGCGCTATCGATGAACGGTTTGGCGCTAGTCAGATATGTTTATCAACTACAGAAGAGCAGCTGAAAACGGTCTTTAATTCATTAGCCGTCTCTTGCGATAAAATGCCGCTGGAATCATTAGACTCCAGGGAGATTACGCACAATAGGCTCGAAGAGATAAGACAGGAAATAAGAACCGATGCACTGCCAAGAGGCCTCGAAAACTGTATGACAGACGGGACGGATTCTGCGCTTGTCGGTCGCTGTGTCGGCTGTAAGGAACTTGAGAAGCGGGTCCAGACGCTAGAAGAGAAGCAAGGCCTACTGACGGACATCATCATGGCTATTCTTAAGCACATTAAGATAGAATTACCAGATAATCCGCCAAATTTCCGATCGATCGGCGACGAACATCCTACTAATAAAGGCGCTAGCGCGGAAAAGTCAAAGCCAGTCAGGAAGAGGAAGCGAGTTATGTCTCCAGAGGAAACTCTAGACAAATCAGTTCCGGTGGATAACGTGGCAGTCGACACTAATGCATTAAAAATAAGTCAGGTTCCATTACCTGCTATAGTAACAAAACCTGCCAAATCATCGAACAATAAAGTTGGGAAAGCCAGGATGACCCTCAGAAGATCTGTTAGGAACTACAAGGACTCGCCGTTATTCTTGGAAGGCAATGCTGTTACTCCACTTCTTCACAAGGCTAACTCATCTGGAAAGTGTCCTAACCATTCCGTTTATGGAAAAGGACACGATAAGCCTTCGTGCAGTACATTGCAACAGGGTAATGATTGTAAGAGCTCCACTGCCGAAGCAAGTACGTCAGATGAAAATCCATGCCCTAAACTCCCTTCGCCGGCCGAAAACCATTCAAATGCCGAAGTGACAACAGCCGTCGGGAATACTACAGTAGCATTATATCGTCCTAGCGCGGACGGGACAGTAATGAGCTCTTCCATAAATCGTAAGCAAAATATTGTCATAAGGGGCGCCCCAGAGTCCACGTCCTGCATTCCGAAGGAACGAGTGACGCACGACCTAGACCTTCTCCATCAGTACGCCAGTGCCGTCCTGCAGGATGGGGAAATATTCACCGTTAAAAAAGCTTTCCGACTAGGCAGAGCGGACCCAAATCGTGACCTAGAAAAATCCCCAAGACCCCTGAAAGTTATTTTGGAAAACGAAGCCCAAGCAGCGCTTTTGTTAGAAAGTAGAACGACCTTACGCAATTCGCACAAGGAAGTGTTTTTTCAACCAGACTACGAACCGAGGGAAAGACTGAAAATGAGAGAACTGAGATCAGAATTGAAGGAGAGAATTGGCAGAGGAGAGAAAGGGCTGAAGATCAAAAATGGACAAATAGTCCAAACAAAGGGGTCTTTCCTGTGGTCAGAACCCGTCACAATGAAGGCCGGGCCTCTCCAACAAATCAGTCATTGAAGGTTATATCCGCAAATGTGCAAAGCCTCTTTAACAAACTAGATGAACTAAGAGACTTAGTTGATGAAATTAAGCCAGACATTATGGCATTCACAGAAACGTGGCTTACTGAAGATATCGCAGATTCAGAAATATCACTTAGAGGATATCAGCAATTCAGGAGAGATAGACTAAGCCGAGGAGGAGGAGTCATAATTTATGTCACTTGCAAGCTAAGCGCTATGGCTGATGTNACGGTGGAAGGTCGCCGACACAACATCGCCAGCCTCCATAGCGTGCAATATTCAAACTCCCGCGCGTCGAACAATAAGCCAATCAGCGAACAGCCGCCACCTATTAGCGCGCCGCCTTTAAAACCAATTAGGGGAAGAGGGCAGCCGCCAAGTGTACGGGTAGTTCATTGCGCGCCGCAAGCGTGGAATATTAAAACTCCCGCGCGTTGAACAATGAGCCAATCAGCAGCGCAGGGTAGCCAGCCAATCAGCGAGCAGCCGCCAACCGCCTTGTAACCAATTGGGGGAAGAGAACAGCCGCGAGGGGTACGAGTAGTTCATCGGTCGAAGGGGCGGTATGTTATTTCGGAAACCGACCTAGATGTCAGTACGCACGGTCGCTCTCCAATAAGCACGACGTTATCAGGCGCCTCAGTGGACAGTACGTAGCCATTGTGAAGAATAGCGGTCTACCTGCGCGGCAACTGAAACGACCGTGGTAGTACCCCCTTACCGTCCAACAGCAGTGAGCTAGTTGGCAACTCAGGCAAACGTCTCTCAGAATAACGTTTGTACACCTGTGCGGCTACATTACTGGGACCCTTGATGGTACTGCGAAGGGTTTGCAAAAAAAGATTCGAAAGGGAAAGCAGAAAAATTGTCCAATACTCCAAAACGGCTAACGTCCTCGTGGAGGTGGACTAAACTATGAAAATTATAAACAAGATCTGCAGGACTGTACAATATTGGGAAATCAGAAACTAATTTATCTAATAGCAAACGTCCAAAATCAATGAAGGTTTTGTGCAAAATGGAATGGGAGAATATAGAAAAAAACGGCAACAAACAAAAGTAGGAAGTGTTCACAACGGGAGGAATCCAGATGGGTAGCAAGGACCACAGGACCTATGTACAATAGGAACTGTCGATATTCCGCAGCCTTCCAGAATTCCAGACAGTCAAGAGGTCTGCACTTGCGTGAAAAATCAGCAGGGAAACTTTGCACTGTTTAATGGAAGCATTAGGTCAGTCAGTATAGGTCAGTATATTTTAAGAGTAATAGACAATGCCTTTGAAAACCCTATTGTAAACGGAACATGCAATATCTCACTATAAATAAACATGGTACTGAAATTTTGTCAGTAATATACACATTTAACAGAATATTTTCCGTGAAAATGTAGAGCCAAAACTTGAGAACATTCAGTTGCAGATGATTTCAGTAAAATGTAATGACAGCCATCCGCATTAGCGGTATGAGTATGCAAGGCGTTGGTTTATCACCACAGAGCTGTTCTGTTCAGACAAGCGATAGTGTCCAAGCAAATATGCATCGAGTCTTTGCTTGAACGTCTTCGTAGTATCCGCCATTATTTCGTCTTCGGGAAGCCCGTTCCAGGCACCGACGACTCGCGTCTGCGGGATGACAGGTCATTCCGCATGAGAAGTCAGGAGCAGCTCCACAAAGGCACCTCACCTTTCGAGAACTTGCCTATTGATATGTTAGCTGCCTTTCCAATTGATTACATGCACCTTCTCTGTCTTGGTGTCATACGTAAGCTGCTGCTTATGTGGCGGCTGACTACGAGGAATCAGTCCGTCACAATAAATGCCTCCATAAAGCAGTGCAGTCAATGTTTGCCTGCGGAATTTTCACGCAAGTGCAGACCTCTTGACTGTCTGGAATTCTGGTAGACCGCGGAGTACCGCCAATTCCTCTTTTACATAGGCCCCGTTGTTTTAGCTTCCCACCTTGACCCATCACTTTATGAGCATTTTCTCCTTTATTGCTATTTTTTGTTAGATGAAATTGTTTAAGATTTGGCCATTTTGTACAGTGCTGCTGATGTAGTTTCTAATGTTCATTGTTTAGCTCACCGCCACGAGGACGTCAGTGGTT